GGCCTTAAGTCAGAAATGTTCATTTTCCTGAACATCTCACTTTCTTAACGGCAGCGTACAGCTGCAGGTGTCAGATAATAAAGTGTATAGATGTCAGATAAGACCAGAGTAGAGAAAACACAGGCTTGTTTTGCTTGGAGCATCATGGAGGAAAAGTGTAACCTCTCCAAAACTGGCCACAATTGATTCAAAATCATAGATAGGCTCTCTTGGTTTCAATTGCTGTTTTTTGAGTGTGTATATCTATCTGTACTTGTGTGCCAATTTGTGTTGGTGCATGGTACTCGTGTGCCAATAGATATATCTGTTTGTACATCTACATGTCCTTCTAAAAGCACATATTTGTAGTTATTTATAAGTGTGTGTCTCTCTAAGCTTTTGAGCTATCAAACAGACAGGGATCATTGCCTGTGGAAAACATTTTGCTTGAATATTTTTCTCTTTGCTTTGAGCTTTCTCATGGCTCTGCAGACATATTGGAGTGGGCGGCTGTGCAAACATCAGGACGCGGCAGGTCTCAGCTGTCCAAATGACAGTCACACATTCACTTTGCTGTGACAGTCACACGCTTAACGCATTCAGAATAACACTGATGCATCCATGCGCACAGACAGAACATGCGCAGTCACGCCGCTGCCAGTCTCACTTACCCATCTAGGCCTGATATGCTTGCACTACGCGTCTGCACTTAAGTCTCTATAGGCCACTTTACACAACCACACGGTCTTTAAACCACAACTAACCCACTTCTCTTAGTCAGGATAACCTTTTTCACACACACATATTTCTTTAACCTCCAATTCCCAAAAAGAAGGTTGTAAGTTGGATTAACATCAGGAGAAACTGAAATTTGTCCCAAAAACATACGTGTAACCCCAGACTCCAGCTGCTCTCACAGGCTCAACATTTATTTGGCAATTCCAGAGTGAAAGCTATTGACGTGTTTGTGTTTGCTGCTGTTTTCTTCTGGGAATAGTGTAATACTTTATATTTACTTACTTAAGGTGTTTTTACAAGCCAGTCAACGCAGCTATGACAGGCTATGCAAAGGTCTGTTTTTATGCTGACTGACTTTATTTGTACTCTGGTCAAGCAGATCTGCAGCCTCTAATGAAATCTCTGATGTTGTAATCCATACCTTTAGGGGTTTTTGTTGTGCATGCAACATTTACACACACCCAAAAAATATCAAGTAATCCTAGTGCTGTTTGAAGGACAGCCCTATATAACAGAGCAGGCATTCTGGGACTAAATAATTAAGAAACACCAGTAGTAGAGGAGGGTTGCAAAGCGGCTTGCAGTGATGCTCTGGACAGGGTAAACAAAAGGTTCTTTCAACTGCTCACTTATTCACAAGGGGTCAGTAGAGCAGATGGATACACCTGTTTAAGGTGGCAGATTCTGTTTTTACCCCTTCCTGATGTAACAGTCCCACAAATTTATGTTTGCTCTTGCTAACGTGCTAACAACGCCACAGTAAACATTAAATGGTGTAAATGCGCAGAGATAGGTTAACTGGTGATTCTCAGTTGGCTGTAGGTGTGAATGTAAACATGTGAATGGTTGTCTGTCTCTGTGTATTAGATCGACAACCTGCCCAGGCTGAATCGAATAACCGGAATCAGTTGAACCATCAGCTGCTATATGGACTGAGATGAGCTGATTGTGGTTGAGCTAGCCTGACTGAACTAATGCTAAGCCTGATGATGTACATTTCCATACTTCAGCTCGTGTGTGTGTGTCTCGAGTTGCAGTTTCATAAATATGCTACATGAAGATGTCACAGGAAGTCAGCTGTGCAAGGTTGTCACATTAAATCACAATAAAGGCATGGGAAGCGGAAATATGTTGTCTGTTAGTAACCTCTCTTTCCTTCATTTCATCGCCTGAGTAACTTTTGTTTTTAGTGGTAAATCTCAACTAATTTGCAGCTTCTTTTCTCACCGGATGAGCATTTTAGGTAGAAATGGCAACATCACCCTTTTTGTTTGCAATACTGCAACAAAGAATTTAAACCCGCCACAGAAACCTACAACATTAATTGTGAAAACACCTGTCTAAAGTTTGCTTCTGTGCCTCAGAAAGCTTTTAATTAAAGTAGGCCGGATCAGTTGATCCACCAACTCTACCTCTGAGAAATGCTTAAATAATTTCAACTCCAATCTGTCAAAAAAGTTTAGTTTCTCTCTGTTCACATGTTCATCCTTTGAGCGCCAGGCGTGCTGACAATCTGCAGTGCTGATTTAAAGTAACTCACTCTTCTTTCTCTACAAGAGATTTGTGCAGTATAGCTCAGCTGGGGAATCATTTTGTCGACGCAGCCAGCACATCCAGCTAACTCAGCATCTTGCAAACACATATACACAAAAATGTCCTTCCCGCTTCCATCTTCAGACTTATTATATTTATTTATTTAATTTTGGGTTTTTTAGGGGTTATTGTTCACTTTTTGATTTGATTGTTCTTTATAGCACCATCTTGTGTTCTCGAGTTTTTGACAGTTTCTTATCTGGCTCTGTCGCGTTTATGCTTGTTATCCTAAATTCTGTTTTTTGTTATTTGATACGAGAGATGTCTCTAAGCTGCTGACATATGCATCATACATCTATATTGGTCTCCCTTTCTTTTAGCCTTTTTATTTTTCCTTTTCAGCATTGTCTAAACTAAAGTGCATCCAAATTACTTGCTGATTTATTAAGGTATATGTCATGGCTGTGCTAAATTGTAATGGAAATGGAAAGCAGGCTTCATCTCTTAATTCTTTAGAGGGAAATGGACAACAAGTAAAGTGAATTACTCAAATTAACCATGGCTTAACTGAAGGACAGGAGGCAAGCTTTCACTACAAGGCCTTTATGATGGCTTGTGCTACAAAAAGAGCAAGCAGAATGAGGAAATTAATTTAGCAGGTTTGACTGAAAAATGCAAATGTGATTCAGTTGTCATTTTGAACCCTAACCCTTGGTTCACATTGGTAACAATTAACCCTGGGTTTACTCGATTTTCAGACAATAATCCTGTAAAAATTGAGGCCAGCGTTCCTCTTGAACAAAGCCGCTCAGGTTCGAATCAGGTTTAACCTGTCTTGGATGTCTTAAATGGTTTTTAACCCAGAGGTAAAAGCTACAGTGTGGGCAAAAAGAAAAACTAAACAGAGTAAAAAGGCCAGTTTTATTCAACAGCTGAGGCCATCTTGCAGTTCTAAGAACCTTTTTACTCTTAGTTGTTATTTTTAACAAAACTGAATGGACTTTTTACATTTTCATGATTAGATATATATAGTCATGTCTGCAGCAGGGTATTATGATCATATTTGCCTTGTGTATATACATTGTGTATTCCTCTCTTGCAAGGACACGCTATTGCAACAGCAGTATAGGAATGGAAGCACAAATAAAGGGTTGTTGAGCTGTTTGTGAGATAGAGATAGTCTGGCGCTGGCTTTGGGGAAGACTTCCTGCTTTGCAGATTGGTTCCAGTCTGCTAGAAAACCAATATGAAGTTTTAGGGCAGTGATAGCTAATGGAAAAGGGAAGATATATGTGGTTAAAAGAGTTTTTAAATCCCCAAAGCGGGAGGGACATGCTGCACGTGAGACCTGAAAGCAACTCATAGAGCATGTTTACTTCTTAGTTCAATTATGCATCCTAACTGCTCTTGAGCGAGGCAGTTATCTTGGATACACCTATTATGAAATTCTTGGTTGATGCCCATGTTTAAAATAAGTTTGGCCTTTACCTGATGCTAGTACATTATTTTCCCTCAATTTTATTTTGTTGTTTTTACTCATTCCAGGCAAATACAGTACTGTGGAAAATTTTTATAATAGTTTCCAGGCTTTCTGAAGGTCTTTCAATGTGTTTCTTTGGACATTGACTGCTTTTTCCAGTGATTTTCAGTCCGGTTCTTGTACCTGACCATTTTCTGAGGAATGTTTTTTGTTTGTTACGCCAATTAACACTGATCTATGAATCATTCAAGCACAAAAAAGGCACATAACGTAAGTGATAAATTGGTATTGTGTCTACTCATAACATATAGCTTAGCAAAGAACCAACCTTTTCTTTAGCCACTTACTAGCAGCATGTCACAAAGAAACATCTTTGTTCCCATTTCTGTAGTTAAATCTATGAAAAATTCAAAAGATAACACAGTGTAACAGGCAGAAAATAATATTTGGCACCAAAGAGGTGATTCCCAAACAGCATGCTATGCAGTGTTTCCATAAAAAAATTGAGGAAACTAGACAGTGGAGGATAAAAGAAGTATCGAGGCTAAAAGAAATTTACAGCAGATGATCAGTAGCTGAAAGTCATGTCTTTATAAAATAAGAAAACATACAGCAAAGACCTGACACAGGGCCTGAGAGATGCATCTGGTCCTTCATTGGATCCATCTGTTCACTGAAGCCTCATCAGTAATGGACTCAGTGGAAGGCTGGCTGTCAAGAAGACATTGTTTATGGCAAAAAACAGTTAGCAAGGGCTGAGGTGTGCTAGATTACACAAGAACTGAACTGGAAATCAGTGACAACTGGTCTTATTTAGTAAGTAAACACACAGTGAACACAGACAGTCATGGATTGGCCTCCCCAGAGCCTGAACCTCAACATTAATGAAGCAGTGTGGGATCATCGAGACATAGAAAAGAACAAAAGGCAGCCAGCATCCAAAGAAGAACTTTGAATGTCCTTCAAGAAGACTGGAGAACTATTTGTAACGCTAAGTTATTTAAAGGACTAGTTTATGTCAATGGATGAATTTACTGACTGACGCGCAGAAGAAATAGTTCTTTATGGAGCCTAGATGGTGTGAATGATGAGACCAAAGACTGTCATGTCTTGTACCAAAAATATATTGAATAAATAGGGGAAAGGGGAAATGGAACAAAATAATTAACACAACACACAACGTAAATGTCCACAATTAAATAATAAATCAATGCTGTGATTTTTCTGTGCAAGAGTCCTTTTGCTAAGAGTCCTTTTTTTGGTCCTTTTCTTTTTAAAGTTCACTTTTAAGGTATTCCTCCTTAGGGTCCAGCTTCATACAAGGGGGAAATATGTCCGTAATCCAAAGACGGCTAAGTGGGGGAAAAGAGGGGAAAACAAAGAATGGTCCTACCGGCTCGCCACTTCAATATGAAGAAGATCAATTCAAAGGGGAAAAAAAAACCTGACCTGTAGGTCAGAAAAATGTCCATTAGCACATCAAGTTCAATTCAGTTTACCGGTAAACAAATATATTCTTCTGCAAGTCTAGGTAACAATGCAAATCATCATAAATCATCATCATCAATGTACAACAGTTAAATCATTAATCATCTTGGCTACGTAGCTTAATCTATACATTCCAGTAGCGTTCGCTACAAACAATACAAAAACAACAATAAAGAAAAACAACTGTCTAACAGACAGCATAGCCGAATTCAAGGCAACACATAACAATAATCATTCAATCGCACTTTGTTTCAAAGTAAGCCCATAAAAATGCTTAAGTAAACAGAAGTGTTCAAAAACAGCGGTTTTTGAACCGGAGTTCTGCTCGCGGTGGGAACGCTGCCGCACAAAGTCATTTTTTAATCGCGAAAACGATCGGCTGGTTACTGACAACCAAAGGTTGTAAGATATTAAGGACACTTACCGCTGAGTTTAAAGTTTAAAGATGAATTGAGGAGAGAAAACGCTTTGTTTTCCAATACCGCTCTAAATGCCATAAGCTCACAGCCACAGCAGGAGTCGAACCCGGAAGTATCCCTCCACAGCCGGTTTTCAGAGTTGCCGCGACGTGAAAGGAGCCAATCAGAAGAGGGACCTCAAATCAGCTGACGTGGGTCATGTGACAGGGAGTAGTTGATATGGGTTACATATTCCTGAAGTCTACTTAAAGAAATGACAAGAAATCTGTGTTCAGACTGTGTGAAAGAATAAAGGTGTTCAAATACAAAATATTTGCTATAGTTACCTTATTGTATTTCCTATTATGTTTACGTGTTTCATTAAATCGATGCACATATTTTTCATTTTCCTAGCAAAACGTGAGGTGTGGCATAAGGTTTTTAAACAGAATAAAAGGAATTTTATGCGGAGTAGGTGAAGTCTTTTAAAGACTTCCTGTTTTTAGCCTGCACTAAATTAATATCACACAACATATAAATATCTGCCATCTTATCTGATGACTTGAGGCAACAGGGAAATATCTGCCCATACAGATATTCAGCCAATATGTGGGTACATCCCTATGATTAACACAAGTGGCTGTGTAGGAAGGTTGTGGCTCAAGTTGCAAAAGTATATTCATGTGAGGAAAAATTACATAAATACCTCCAGGGTGAATAAATACCTTGAAAAATAAAACAAAACAACAAAAAAGGTATCGGCAGCAGCCCAGAATTTCACAATTGGTGCATCCCGAGATGTTGCCTTGCTTCTTCCTCTCTCTGCAGAAACTCTGCCAGGCTGTCACTGTGGATGAAAGTGTGCTGTGAGTCAACCTGCCTGCCCAAATAAACTTTACATAATGATAGTGCACTGTCACTCTAATTTTCTTCCGTCTGAGTAGTTAGCTGTGCTAATGCATTTCTTGCTGGTAAGCTATTCTTTCCATGAATGAAAGGGGCAGCTCTCAGACAACATGGTCTATTACAATATGGTCTATTTTTTGGTGAGAGGATCTGCTGAAATGGGTTTAAAGAACTGCGACGATGACAAAGAGCTGCTTATGAATGTGTTTTTAACTCTTGTCCTTGTAATCTTTATGTGAACATAATTTCTGAGAGAGGAGAGATTTCGACAGAGAGCATTTAACAGTTATCAAGACAACTGCAGATGGAAAATAAAGACATAGTTCTAGATATTATTGATTATTGCCCACAAAAAATACTGGTGCATGGATCCTGAAATATTGATTATTGGCTGGGCCATATCTGTATTTTCATGCTTTAATACCAAGCATGAGGATTCCAAAAAACAAAATAAATAAATAAAAGCTGAGGTGCTTTTGCGAGAAGCCATGGAGCTAAGGGAGTAGTCAACTAAACCATTTAATACAGCTATTCGTGTTTTGCTCGAGAGAAATACTGGTTTGTCATTAATATCACTGCTGCATGATATTGGTTCACTGTTAGATTACATAGCCACCGGTCACTACCAGCCTTGGCAGCCCCACTCCCCCTGTGTTAATGGACATAATGGATGCAGTAAACAAGCAGGGTGGAAAGTGGGACAGATGACATCTCATGTAATCAGTGCGGTTTGGCTGTATTTTGATGTAGAAAATAAATGGTTGTATAGACTGTGTAAGAATAAACAGACAAATAGCTATTCAGCCAAAGCAGTGTAAAAACACTTACTGCACAAGCATTGGGATGCTAACCTAAAGGAAAACAAGACTACTGGTGCTAGCATTGCATGTATTATCCACACACCTAACGTTTTCTGACTTTTAGATTAGTGCACACAGCTTGGGTCATTGTGTTGCTCCCTTTAGCCACACTGTACATAGGCAAATAGTCCACACAACTTCATCCATGTTAGCTGATTATTCAGTTAGCAGGAGTAAAATACCTAAATACTTCCTCTTATCATTTACCATTAATTAAGTATTATCAGTGTTATTTCTATTTTTAATATCTAAATCTGAAGTTCTCCTTTTATTGCTAGTGCTGTATAAGTCTTACTTTTTTAACCTTAATTTTGTCAGGAAGTAAAACTTCCTGTTAAAAGGGAGTTTTTCCTTACCACTGTCACCAAAGCGCCTACTCATAGGGTGTCATATGATTTTGGGGTTTTTTCTCTGTTTTCTTTGTAGAGTCTTTATCTTACAGTATAAAACGACTGTTGCTGTGATTTGGCGCTATATAAATAAAATTCAATTCAATTCAATTGAATACAGGCACATGCACTATCGTGTAGCACATAGCATGTACCTAACCCTCTGTAGAGCCACTTTATGAAAGATTTTAAATCTGTTAAATCTAACATCCTGAAGCTCATAGTGGTAATGAAAAAGGTTGCAGACTGCTCAGTAGTTCTCAGTAGTACTTAATGGAGAGACTGTTTGTCCAGATTTCATGATGTATGAATTTGAGAATCGAATGTCTTTTGGGGCAGATGGAACAGGGAAGAAATAGAAGTTAGAAGAGAGAATATGGAGACTATGAAATGAATCACCCTTGCTGGGTTTTTATAAAGGCTCATTGTTTTTTATAGTTTGTTTTTGAGTTCATGAAATAACTCAGTTGATGATTCATGTTGCAAATATTTAGCTCACATATCCTTTTTTTCCCCTGATGCATCTTTTTTAAGTCCTCTGATGGCCAAATAAAAAAGTTTGTGAACACTATCCTTTGGCTTGAATTATCACATTGCATCCCTGACACAGGGTTTAAGATTAGTCATTGTATTCTTTAAGGGACTGACTCATAAAATATGACATTTATATTCGTGTTTTCTAGACACTGTTTAGGGTTTCTGATAATTGCTCACAGACTCTCATCCATCACATCCATCACTATGGTCAGACAACTTGGACCTATTAACAAAGTCATCTAGCTCAATATACCATCTAGTTTTCCCCATCTAGTACAACCATCAGTGTCTCAGACACTGCTTCCATCCATCCAACTTGCAACCTGTCAGTCCAAAGAAGCGGGTGAGACAGAAAGCCTCGAGACTCTCAGGCATAGCGCATTAGCTGTGTTTATACCATAGTAAGGGCACAAGTTGCAGAAGGTCAAGAAAGTAAGTGGCCTGATGAAAGTGTCACTCTGGGGAAATTTCAACGATGCGTTGGTGGAGGGTCAAAAATGTCGGCTGGCAAATTCATTCTGATAGCCCTAACTCAGAGAGATAATGTGCGAGAAGTCTGGGAGATAGGGGGAAGGAGAGTTGACTACAAATGCAGAGAATCATAAATCTTTCCTTTGATCACAGATAAAGATGTGGGTGGATTTGTTGTCTCCGCCAGCATGCCTTTGGAAGTGTGTCATATCATTTGCCGCATGCCTCCCTCCTCCTGACAATCACTTCTCGGGCGGTCTTGTCTCCTCGTATTGTTATCTTCTCCTTTATGAATAAAATGGATGAGACTGACTTTAAAAAGAGTGATGTCAAAACAACATTCTTTTTATGTTACTTTTGTAGTGTTGACCTTTTGATGAGCTCGCTATCCTTTTGTTGAGATCCCGGCCAGGCCTCCGCGTTGCTGGGTGTGCTTTCCATTTTATCCTTTCTATCTGAACTCCTTTTGCACTAAGGGTTGAAGTCAAAGGCTACTCTTGTGAGGAATTCATCACAGCTGCAGCTGGAAGTAAAGCAAACGGACACCAGCCTCCATGATAAATCCTGGCTGTGGGTGAAACTTGAGGCTTCACAGTGAGGCATGCTATAATGAGCAGAGAAGTCACATGTTTTTTCCTGTTTTTCCTGGTGCCGGAGCAATTTTTGCCATTTATTTGCAGCATAGACTTCACCGGAGGCTCATGGTTCTTACAGGCAGTCAGTTGTACCAATTATCAGGGGACAAATGGTCAAATGGTACCTTACTGCAGTTTGGAAATTAAATGATATTGTAAGAGCATGTTTTTTTTCCCCATATCAATTTAAAATTCATTTTCATTTCACCACATACAATCTTTTTGAATCTGTTAAAAATACAGCAGTATGTTTAAAGGGCACTCTTATTAACTACATACCCTTCTTCCATCTGGTAAGGCTACGTTCACACTGCAGGCATAACCATATGCGACCCATATCCGATCATGGTATGACAGTTTCGAAGTCCAATATTTTCAAATCCGACCTAGGTCACTTTTGTATGTGGTACTGAATCCGATACATATCCGATGTTTAGAAAGCGACCGCTCCTTGAATGGCCATGTCGCATTAAATCTGTCTTTTACGTCACTGACACAAGACAGACGCCAATTTTCAGCGCCGGAGAAGACAAACAGGAAAGCATGGCGGCAGAAACTGAAGACGGGGCGAGTCAATGGACAGAAACTGAGGTTTTGGACTTGATTAGCATATGAGGAGAAATTGATAGACTGCTGCAACATCACCTACTGGCTCTGTAGCCGCCATGTTTACTTTCGTAAACAGAGCGCGTTGTGTGTGATGTCTTCTTTTGCGCATGCGGGCCACTTTGAGGGCCGTGAACCGTTCACACTAGAGCGTGTTTGCTGTCACATTTTATTTGTAGTGTGAACAACTAGACCAAAAAAATCGGATTTGATCAAAAAATCGGAATTGAGCATTAAGACCTGCAGTGTGAACGTAGCCTAACAGACTGATTCAGCTCTAGTGCCACAAAGATAGATACAGGAAATATTTCATTCCTCATGAAACTCCTCCTCTTATTATTAGATCAAACAATTAGCCACATTAGCCACAATCATTAAAATTTACTTCCCATGCCTCAGTATTATTTGTTGTGTGATTTTAGGCCATTGTTAGGGGATTGGTAGGCAACCTGATGATGTCAGATGATGTCAGCATATATTTTGTATAATTACATTTTGTGAATATAAATGAAATATTATTGTTTGAAATATGTTTGATGCCTTTTTGAAGTGTTGTAGACACCTGTAAACACTACAAATAAATTATTTCAGCCCATTCGTAGGTGTTTGCTAGGCAACATGATAACATTATAACATCTGATGTAGATCAGGTAACTTTAAGTACCAAGATGTGCTTGTTTGCCAGTTTTGGTTCCTCAACTTTTGATGGTTCACTAGCAGTTTGCAGGCAAACAGAGATGAACAAAATACTTGAATTTCACTCACCAAAACTGAAGCAAAAGAGTGAAATTCTAGTTTTATTAGTCCATCCCACTGATATGTGTGTTTGGGAGTTGCACCTGTACAGTTTATCTA